AACTCATAAGAAAAATTAACATAATAGCCATTAATATTTGTATGTATTTCCTCACAAATAATTTTTATACTTATACCAATATACAAAATTGTGTTTTTTTGTTTTCAAATATTGTGATCAGACACAATATTGTGATCATATTGTGATCATATCTTATTACTACTATGAATACTGAAATTGTTTCACACATAAAACCTGAATATGTAAAAAGTGCTTATAAATCGTAAGAATATATAAAATTTGTAAACAAGACAAAGACCTAGGCCTCGTATTTAAACTTCACTAAGTACAGTTCATTTGAGGAAAAATGGCTGCAGTATCGACAAGAAACTTCAACCTCAGTAACAAAGCAAGTCGAACAAGAAAAGGAACATACGGAGGAAGCTGCGGGGAGGCGCCGGAGAGGGAGGCGGACCTTGACAGCACGCGGCAGACTAAGTCAGCAACGACGGCACAGCGAACTCGCTCAGCGAATGATTTGTCCAGAAACAGAATACAAACGCCCTCTAAGGTAGGCCCGGAGAGCCGCCACCTCAGCTGACAGCGGCTGCCCGCCGGACGCTGAGCGCCGGCGCCTCCCATCCTCTCCCCACGCTGGCTCCAGCTGCTTGCTCCTGTCGCTCTGGGCACCGGCTTGAGATGCTCAAGGCAACCGGAGACAGAGCCGCAGCAGGCCTCAGGGTACCCACGAGGGCTGGAACTAAGTTATCTAGTCAACACAACACTTTGCTTAGAAAGATGTCAGGAAAGGCAAAGCAAGTGTGACATATCGAAGGCCTGTCACCAGGAAACAGTGCTTGTTTTGTTCAGGAAAGCAAAGCACCTGGGAGGTACTAAATGATCAAACAATGTACCTTATACAGTGAAATTTCAGTTGTCCATAGTATCTGATGGAATGATCCATTAGACAAACAGTAAAAAGAATCTTCTTATAGAACTGAAAAGTTAGATTTAATGAACTTGAAAGTATTGCAGTTCTTACCATAATGCAAAAATTACCCTTAAAATATGGATCATCTTCCAAAAGCATGAACACTACACTATTTTCAAATTATAGTGTCACTTACCTGATTTAGATACCAAACTAATGAGCCAATAGTAGAGATAAATGGAATGGCTAAAAAAAAAAAAAAAATACAAGAATATACAAAGAACACAGGACAGATAGAAAGCCACCCATCAAAATTTACATGTATAACGAAATTTGACTGAAATACAAAATTATAATTTAAATACCAAAAATCTCAAGAAGTTAACTAAAAATGGTAGGAAAAAATGTCCAATTTGGTTGCTCTAGTGTTCAACTGTTTCTAATGCTTTCATGAATACAGTTAAATATAGTCCTATCACAAACCCTCATTCAGTAACTCTAACTTGTCATAAAGAAGCAAAAGCACATAAACTTTAGAGAAGTCACTAACAGTAACTGCAATCTTTCATTCACAGACAAACAGGAAATACCTGATATGTGAAGAAAAAAAACCACCAGACATATAAATCGAAAAATTTCTTCAAAGAGGGGAGAAAATGTGAAAGTAAGACCTATTTAGTGTCCTAAAGTTAAAGACAGTATATCTGTAAAATAGGAGCAGGTGGCCATGAACTGGAGTTACCAGAAATAACTTAACAATGTATGAAGACATTACGGAACACTCCCAGAAAAAAAGAGAAAAACAAAAATGTGGAAAACAAAAGAAAGCTTTCAAAAGAGCACTGATACACAAATTTTAGGTAAAATAGCCATTAAAAAAACATAGATGGTAAAAAATAACACATAAGATTTTGCAGAACTGCAAAAGAGCCTTAACATTCAGTTTCCATCAATACTTTACAAGATGAGTAAAAAAGGAAGGTAACTCATCTTCCTTAAATTTCATATCGCCAAGTATAAAGAGCATTACAACAAAAATCTTTCTGTGAATTAATAACAGGTTACCTACAAAGAAGTAATTCATAATAAAAACCAAATCTCTTATCATAAAGCTAATTACTAAATTGTAATAAAATGTAACCGTCCGAATTCTATATGAAAATAATTCCAAATCTGTGTTCTATACCCAGCCAATGTATCTGTCAGGTGTTAAAGTGAAAAAGACATTTCCAAACATCTGACAAGTACCACACACATTTTTCCTAGGGGAAAAAAGAAATGATTTCAAGAGGTAATCTACAAAATGGCAAAATAAGTCCCAAACAAAAATTATCCAACTTGTCTGAAAAGGTAATTAAATGACATTAGCTGAATATCATACCCAGAACTTCAACAACTGCATGATTTAAAAGCTGAATAAGCACGTGACCTGAAGAAGGCATTTACTTCTCTACCAATGGGGGGGACATGACAAGGAGAAAAATCCAGAAAACAGTTATAACCTACACAGACTAAACTGTCATGATCTTGAGAACCAGCAGTGGGAAAGAAGCCCCATTTATTCTCCATGGATTTATTATACAGGTCATAAAACTTTCATCACAATAACCTTATTTTTTATCGCTTTCTAGAATCAACAGGTATACATTATAAACCTTGATGACATGAAATAAGTTACTAAAGTTGGCATAAATTGGATAGGGAGTGTGGTAAACGCGAAGGAAGTATTGCGGGAGGTACACATGTTTCTGAACTTACAAAGTTCAAACTTTAAAAACATGTCTAAATTTTCTCTAGAGTAAACAGTGTAAGAGCTAGAAGCTTAACCATAAAGGCAACCAAAAAATAGAAAAGGAAGAACAGAGATAGGTACTAAAGAGTCAAATTCTCCATGACTCACAACATGGACATATTAGTTTACTTAAAATTAGTTTAAAATAGGGTTTAAAGATTTACCTAAAATTTTAAATATATAATTGGGATATATATAAAATTAGGCTAATAGTAAGTAAAACTAGAAAATATCTAAAGTAGTTACCTCTGAGGAAAGAAACTAGTTGGAAGGCAGAGAAAATCATTCTTTTTACTTTTCATCTTAAAACTCTATTATTCACATTGTTGGTTTATTGTTTATATGACTATCACATCAGAAATACACACACAGACACATTATTATTACTCTTCTCTAGCCAATGCAGAAAAAGATACTGAAGGATTCTTTCCACCTCTTTTTGTGTGCCATCCAATATATACCAACCTTACAGAATGGAATTTCACTCAAGAATCACCCCATAACCTTCATAAAATTTGGTGAAAGGAACAGCTTACATTTGTTGTAATTATCAAAACACAATCACCTCTATTATCTTATCTAATCTTCATCATAATCTTAGAGAGCAGATTTTAGAGATTAACCAAGTAAAACTATAAAGGTTTAAGAGATTTGTAGTCAAAAATAAAATAGAAAAATGATGTAAACAGGTAAGTCAACAAAAATCACCATACAACACTGAAATCTGAAAATGCTCCCCAAATGTGCAGTTCTAGATTAACATGAAAGAAATAAATCTTAATATAAACAGTTGCCCAATCTGAAAAACAGGTAGTTTTGGTTAAAATGCATTTAGCATCATACTCAGAAAGCTCATTCCTAGGTTGTTACTGCCCAAGAAAAGTGAAAACACATCATACCATATCATGCACTCAAATGTTAAAAGCAGCTTTATTGTTAATAGCCAAAACCTAGAAACAACCCACATGTACATCAACTAGTAAAGAGACTTAAAAACTGTGGCATTTCGAGATGTGAAATGCTCTTCAATGACAAAAAGGAGGAAACTGTACACACAACACATGGAGTCATAGTACTGCTCACTACAGAAAAGTACTGGGTGGTCGAACAAGCAAAAACGTGTCATGACTTTTCCGACAACTCAATAGAGAGAGAGGACTAACTGCTTCCTACATATCTACTTACATGAATTTCTACAAAAGCAAAATTATAGTAATGACAGCTGCCAAGGCTGAGGGAACAGGACTGACTACACAGGACAGTCTGGGGATAACAGAAATGTCCTAAATAATGATTCCAGTGCTGGTGATCCTGCTGTATGAATTTGTTAGAATTCATCAAATTCACTCAAAATTGTGATTATTATTGTACATAAATTACAACTCAGGCCTATTTAAAATTCAATTGTGCATAATCACATGTAACTATTGAAAATGTTAAAATTACAAAAAATGTTAAAATTACTATTTAAAACTAATTTTTAACAATAAATGCACAGGAACTTAAAAAGTACTCAGAATGGAACATTCTTTATCCTACTCAACTTGGTCATATGCATAAATACTAGCTGCCTGCAACCAGTCAAAACTCTACAGATTCCTAATAAACACAGTGACTATATTCAAGGGTACTCTCATAGGAAACAAAGTTTGACACTAAAGAATTCTCCCTTGATATTACAAAAAAGTAATCGTGCATGTGAATTGTTTGTCTAATGCAGGAGTGAATAAGAAACACTAAAATAGATCATGAAAAATGAAAATACAAAATTCAACACACACACACACACACACCCTTTCCTCATGTGGGCTTTTACTTCAGGACTTTACTTACCTAATTTATGAGACTGCTGACTCTATCAGTTTGTGAGTAAACGCTTCCTCTTTTTCTACTTTAAAAGTCCTTGCCTTGCTACCACATAAACTGGTTTACTGTAACTGAACAAGTCCATTGACATATTTACATGTCTTTAAATTTATACAAGTTAAATACTTTTTTCTAGATGTTAAATCATTCTAAAGGCATCTCTCTGGATAGCAGAATCTGTGGACAACACAGAAAAAAATACCTAACGAATTTCTGGAATAAACATTCACATTTTATACCAGAAAGCCAAACCTTCATATGCTGATTACAACATGTTTGAAATCAAGAATTGCAAAGACCCTCTAAAGAGCATGCAAATTCCTAATACAGATGTTATATATTATTTCTCTTTGACTAGTCACAATGTGTCAGTTGACTTTGTTAATAGCAGCAGAGAAAAATACGTCAGGACACCACCCCCTGTTAGCACACTTACCAACCGTAATGTTTTTGGGTTTGATGAACACTTACCCCGCTTCTGAACCCAACCTTCTTTCACAATGGTAACATCGCTCATGATGGCTCCCCTCTGAGCCCCCAACTTGGAGAAATGGAACTTTTTGTTATCAGCTTTGGGGCTTGGATTCTCCGCCGCTGCCCTTCCCACTCTCTAGTGATGACTCAGCCTGGAAGGAAGTATTGAAGAAAGAATTTCTTTTTTTCCATTCTTGCAACTCACATAGCAATAACAAACAACTAATTCTTTGTAAATGTCTTTCACTGGCCTAACCTCACAAAAAAACGTCTAGTCCTTCAAACTAGGGAACTTATTTATTAAATAGTTCTACAATGAATGTACTTCCCTGGTCTTGTGACAGATTTCAAATGCTAGTGTAACTTTTAATCTAAGAGGTTGCAATGAAAATGTCTTAAGCACACCACTATCACTCCTACCCAAATAATACAGAAAATGTCTTTGATGGTATGTATGAAATGCAGAAGTCAATAATTAAGGTGGACTAGAAGGAAATCTTCATACATGTTTATTTTCAAACCTTGTAAATTCAGAAGTTATGACATGGAATTGTGACTGTTTGAACTGCTACATTTTATGTAAAATACAATGTGCTAAAACAAAAACAAAAACATTATGTCGGCTTTACTCTGGCTTGTTCCAAGAACTATTTTAGGTACATTATAAGAAATAAAATATTATTCTCAAAATAAAACAGGTAACATGGAAACAGAAAGAAGTAGAATGTTTAAGATGTTTCAAGAACTATTGTAAATGCTTACTTTTATTATTTTCAGATAATCTTCATAACAACTCTTTGAGGATACTATAAACCCCATTTGAAAGACAGGTAAAACTCAAGCTCACAAAGAAAAAGAAAAAAAAAATAAAAAACAACAGTGCCCAATATCAAACCACTAATAAATGAGAAAGTATAACCCTGACCCCAGCTTGTCCTACATCAGAGCCTGCATTCTTCACTCCGAAACTATACTATTGCCTTAAAGACAAAAAAGAAGCCAGAATAAAAGTCTGCACGTTTGTGAAAGACAGATCCCAAGTCTAGCACAATGTTTTCAGGAAGCAATGCAAGTAAGGAAACTATCTGTTTCAATATTTACAGTCTCTATAAATATTTATAAAAAGGAAAAAAGTTGTTCAAAAGGAGTACAGTTTTTCTGGAATTTATCTGAAATTTATCCCATGGATCTTTTAAAAGATATCTCACACAGTGTAATAAACAAAGTCCTCAAAAATATCCTCACATATAAACTGGAATGACTTTTACGGGGCTGTTTCTTATTGTCCCTCTCAACCTTAAAAGGAAAATGCCAAGATTACAAAAAAAAAAAGCACTGAGTTCACGCATCTACGCAGCATGGGACCAAAACTATGTATGGTGCAGTCACACTGGGGTTATGTGATTCAGAAACACAGACACATATTTTAGATAACCAGAAAGTCTGCTAAATAATGCCTAGAAATACTTAGTTGGAGCCACCTTATCTAGTACTGAACGGAATTACAGCTACAAAAAAGCGCAAGGTCTAATCTTTTAGCAATCAGGAATTAAGACGACATCCTCTAAGAAAGAAGATGGTCTGTGTGACCAATAGGTGAGCACAGCCCTCACGTGCTCTAGGTGAGGCACCACCAGGTAGGGCCTCGCCTTCACAATCACAGCCACTGGACATTACACAGCCAAGAAGGAAATTAGAATCTACGGTATTTTCCCAAAATATAGTGGACAGAATAGTAAGACAACTTTCCGAAAAGGATGGAAAAGGAAAAAAATAGGTCTCTGGTCATTTACATTTGGGAAATTCCACTAAGCATGTCTTTCTCTTGAAATGTTACTATCAACATACCGAAAGTACAAAATGTGTGTGACCTATTTATCTTAGCAAATGCTAAACTTCTCTGACTCCACAAGAATCTTTTCCCTCACTGTTAGTCATATGTATCCAAAGGAAAACACATTTTGGACAACAACCATAGAAAAGTGGCTACATCATTCAAGAACAGTTCCACTTTACCATGAAAAACAGGTAAAAAAGAGAAAACTTCAATAAAAATTCAAACATTTCAATTTGGTTCACGCGACTTACAGAAGAACGGAACTTGGTCAACCGCTACCTACCACAGCTTACGGGTTAACTACCTAAGCGTAAGGAGGCAAAATACTGGGTACTCGTGCAAATTACCTAGATGGACTTCACCATCGGTCCTTTTAGTAGGACTTGCAGCAAGGAGCCTCCTATCTGTTAAACCCATTCTCAGTTTCTGACTACAAAACTATAGTTTGAGTAGAAGAAAATTCGTATTTTAATATTAGCGAAATTGACTGTAGAAGAGATCAAGAATCAACACTTAGCACTGACCAAAATGTAATACACATCCAATTAAGTTTCTATCTACTGTTCTACTAATAATATACAATATCCTTATAAAGAACACTAAACAGCTAGAGTTTCCAAAACTGACTTTATTGTTTAGGGAATATTCCTTTGTGAAACTGTACATCGGAAAGCTTGGCCTTGTAAGGCTGAAGAACAGAGAGGAAAGAACAGAGCTCTGTGACTCGGCCAAGGCCACAGAGCCATTGCACTGCCCAAGAGCAGTGAGGCAGGGAGCCTTCACCTGCTCCTTCCACTACACCACGTCTTTAAAGGGCCAAAAAAGCAAGACATTCGATTCAACCCAAGACTAACGGGTTCTCTTTCATGATGGAACTGTTATTCCAAAACTAATACGCTATCACCCAAAGGAGATAAATGAATGATCTTCTGTGCACAGAAACAAGGCTATTGACTCTTCAGTAAAAAACCAACTACCTTGGCTTAATTTCCCTACAGTGGCCAAACTGTACCAAGTCATCTATACTTCCTGATGGAGACTTCCTCAGACATGAGCTGGCAAGATGACGACGTGCACTTCAGGTCTGCAGAGCGCATTCTCAGGTGGGGTGAATTTCTCCCCTCCTGTATTTCTAACTTCTCTCAAACTGTGTAGTATCCACTGAGCTATAAAAGACAAAATCTGGAGTATTTTTTCTTTTGAACCTATTGCTTTAAAATATTCATTGCAGGATAATCAAATTCTTCCCATTCTTACAAAAATTTCACACAAGATTTTTGGCAGATTTAACTTAGAACTTTTGCAAAGCAATGACATCAAAGTTACTTTCAGAACTATTTGATAATTGTATCTGAATGTCATTTTACACTTTACAAAATATTTTCACATCTTTTACCTAACTCACTATGACTACTACTTCATAAAGCTTAACTTGAGAGTGCCTAGCACACAGGAAATGCTCAATAAATATAGAATACATGATCAAGTGGAGGAAGGAAGAAAGATGCAGCTTTAGCTAGTAAAGAGCAGACAGCAAGTTAAAATGAATTCCACAGGGAATGACATCAAGCAATCTTAAAGCTAAAGTGGGGGGGAGGGAGAGAAGACACTGAACTTATATAAAACCTTAATATAGTTAAAATTATAATAAAATGTTCTTCCTTATTCATTAAAGTCTCTCTCCTATAGAGTTCTATTAATTATAAGAACACACTTTTTTTTCCCCTGGACATCTTTTGACATTTTGCTGCGATGGTCAAGTCAAGCACCACAACTAGCCAAAATCATCTACTACAGGAAAAAGAGAAAGACCGACCTATTCTTCTTAGTGACATGTGTAAGAATGTTTAAAAGATACTTATTTACTTATAGCAACCAACCACTTTTAAGTGGTAACTATATTCTTTAAACATCGTCTTAAAATACCATTCACTCAAAAATCACATTACACTCATCTGTTTGTCAGTCAGCTGATAAATATATACTGGTCTTCTACTCCATGACAAAGACGAGACTGCACAACAGGCAGGCAAGGAAACAAGCATTTAAAACCTCCCCAAAATCTGTGACTTGTTATCGAAGTGAACACACATAACTCATTTGACTCTTTAAAAAAAGTGTGTGCCACAGATGGACCCTGCAGCCGCGGTCTGAGCCTAGGAAAGCCGTCACCAACGACTGTCGCCACAGTCGGGCACGGTAGCAGGCTCCCGACAAGCAGCACGAGGACCGGACCGGCCACCTGCAGCTCCCTCCGCGCACAGGCGGCTGCCAAGTAACACAACGTGAGCTATCCAGAACGTTCATGACATTAGTGAATAGCTTCTGTATCAAATTATTTTTCAGCTGTCTAGTAAAACACAATGTTTTTAAATAAATTAAAAAAGAAATACACCTACGGCAGCACAAACCAAATTCTGTGCGTTAGCAAAGAGAAAAGGTGTGCCCGAATCTCTTTTTCACAAATAAGGCAATTCAGAGGTTAATAATTTCCTACAGGTTAATCTCTAAGCTAAAGTTACAATACTATTCTGTAATACAACTTTCTCTAAACTATAAACTTACTGTAGTTAATAGTATGCACAACAGAGTCCCACCATAATTTTTATATTTTAGATGTTAGTCAAAATGAAGGAAGGAGAATAAACATTCAAATATAACAGAATGTTGCTTCGAAATATAAATGATGGTCAAGAGGGACCATAATATAATGCCATACTGTGTACGGATATCAAGAAGTGGGTAAAGCCAACATATGCCATAATAAAAGCATAAGGCTATATAAAACTTTTGAAAAAGTATTTGAGAAAAATGAAAACTACTGAAATGCAAGGGACATTCAAGGCATGTCACTCTACTCATCAAATAACTCCAAGCCAGGGTGCACCACTGATGTTTGAAAAAGCATCTCATAGGGAAGTCGGCCACACAAACAATACATTTTGTGATAGCTTCAGGGTGAAGTAAACTTCATGGATTTGGGTTGTCTTAAAACTTTCTCTAGAGGTGCCTTCGCTGATTTTCACAGGCTGGCGTTACCTGAATAATAATATTACTTCAATAAGCACAGGCACCATTTCTAATTTTCAGACACATTGCCCAATTTTCACTTTTTAAAAATCAACTTCGCAATACATCTCCAAAAACATAGGCTGGTCTGCTGTTCCCCTTTGCTACTCCTGTTTAGAGAATCTGAATGCCACTGCAGCCAGTTAATCAAATAAAAATGCAACTCACTGAATTCCCCTGAAAAGCTGTATTTCTCATGTAAAAAGTGGCCTGTGTCTGTCTGAAGGCACCTATACAACACAGACAGGTTAGAGACTACTGCACAAAGAATTTTCTTTTCAAAGCTGGTCGTGTGTCTCCAATATTCATCCTTCTTTTAAAACAGGCCTTGGGGGCCTTCCTGATAATAAAATGGAAAAATAAAGTCCTTATGAACAAACAAAACACAGTTGGCATGTGATCCATTAAATGCCAAAATCAGCTAGATTTTAACCATGTCAAACTGAGAACTAGCCAGTACAGAATCCTACACCAAGGTTCATCGCAAAGATGCTTTAGAAAAAGCACTGGACAGGCGTAGATTTGAGTCCCTACTCCCAACTCTACCCACCCAGAGCAATTCTGTAGCAGGTCTATTAATTCTCCATGCCTCAGTTTCCTTGTCACCAAAGTATAGCACTAGATGAATTCTAAAGCGCTCTACAGTGCTTCTAGAGTTCGTATGTATGACTGAGTTTTAATCTACTGAGGTGGCATGGCAGGTGACAATATTATGACTTACATAGTTCTAGCCAAAAGCTTGGAAGGAGGATATAGCTGGGAGGATAAAACATTCAAATATTAATTGTACTCAGTCAAATATTAGGGGCAAAATACCATATTCTGCTCCTCCAAACTTCCAGCCTCCCAACACAGTTAAGAGGCTTTCTTAATTAACATATGGGAGAAGTTCTCATTTGAAAGTTTTCTAGTAATTATTCCTAGCTAGTACACCTTTTAACTTTTCCCTCTGTATACTAGCAAAATGTCCTCACTTACAAATATGAACTATCTGCAGCTGGTGATAAATAGATCAAAAAGTAAAAGAAAGAAGAGGCAACTCTACAGGTCAAGAAACACATTAATGTATCTGTCAACTATTATTTAAAGATAACCCGCAAAGGACATATGTTTACAGGGACTTTGTGAAAGGCTCTGGTGCTACAATAAAATATGTAAACAAGTGAGGCAGTAATTAGGCATTTCAAACAACTAAAATGAAAATGAATGTTAAGCATTATTTTTACTACATAAACTTGGTATCTGTTGAAACTTTTGTATTATATTACCAAGATTTAGGGTCATCACCATGAACTCCAGTAACAGGAACAAACAAGTTAAGATAAAACAAAGATAAGATAAAATAAAATATGCTTTAGTGTTAGGAAAGCCAAAGTAATAGGGATTTTTATTAAGCCAGAATAAATTTCTCCTGTGAAAACCACTTTAAAAAAGTGTACTTGAGGCTGTTCTGAATCTTCAGTAACTCTGTGCGATGACAGCACCTGTGAGTATGTCTGGCACATGGCAAGCACTCGCCAGGAAGTGACCAGCACTAACTCTACGCTGGGTCTAGCTTTAGCATACAGAAGAGACACGCGTAAGTGGTTAAGATATTTAAGTTAATGTCCCATGAGGCAGGGGCTTCTTTCCAGGCTACTAGAGAAAGGCACATGTGAATCCCAGGATTCAGAATACTGACGCGGAGTGTAACCGTCAAAACCAGAGTTAAATATTCTGACACAAATCTGCAAAAAATATTGCATTAACTTTTTAAGTGTATATTAACTTAAGAGGAACAGAAATGCAAGTCAAATTACAGGAGTGATTTGGTCAAAACAAAATGAAAATGGCTTATTTTTCTATGATGCATTTTACATTATTCAGATCTAAATGACTTTAAATTACTTTTTTAATGCTTCAGATTTAATCACACTAGAAAGACAAGACACTACCAAATCAACCATGTCATTAACCATAATTGCCTACTTTCCTAAGGCAGAATCCTTTATAACTAAAAGGTATAACAACAAAGAAAGTATAGCTATCTTGTCTTAAAATATGCAAAGTTTAAGTAAACTCTGAACTGCCACTAAATCAATTTGTAAAACAAGTGCCTCTCTTAAAAATAAATAATTGGAAATTTCCACTGAATTCCTGCATGAAAGATACATCATGTGCAAACACTTGCATTTAATTAGCTTTAATCTACTTTGCACAGCTTTTCTCTATGTGTATTTGTCCCATGTTCCATTTACCCAACATGTCTCTATTTATTGTGATTCTGAAAATAAATTCTGCAAGGGTGGAGATCATCTGGATGAAACGTAAAACAGTAGTTTACTCAAACGCATCCCAACCACACAGGTAACACTGGTATTTCTTAAATGAATGGACTCTTACAATTTTAGGTATAAAGTTTTATAAACAAAAAATGTCCAAACAGAATCCATAAGTACCCTGACACAAACAAAACTAAGTCAATGTCAAACTTGTATTAATTTGAAGTTGGAAAACAATTCACTAATCATTACCGACAGCTAAGGAAGGGAGCACAGTGAATGTACAATTTCATGACATTTTTCCTCGGAATTATTTTAGACTACCTATGACAAATAACTGCAAGAAAACACACTACTACAAAGTCTATACAGCTGAAGACTGAAACTCTATATTCATCCAAATTCCAATGGTGTCTCATTCCTGTGATATATGCACTCTCACTTTAAAATGAGAAGTCCAAGCCAGTCTGTGATATTGGGGTCAACCCTAGGAGGACAAACAAAGGGTGATTTTCAAACAGAGGCTCCTTGGGAAAGATTATGTATTGGCAAGAGAAAGATCAAGCCCAGCTATAGCTTGCATATAATTAAATATTCAATAATACACTTTGGGAAACTAGTAATTTACTAATAAGGAAACATTTTAATTTTAAAAAAGTTGGTTTGTAGACAAGCAGCTCTTGAATGTGTAGGCATGGCTGTGTGTGTGGAATGCACATACTCCTGGAATACACATACTCACTCACACATACTTAGCAACGACACACACGCTCTAAAGCCAATCTTCCCTGCCTAAAACTACCTTTCCTGGACTCTTGCAACTCTGGCTTTCTCAAATATTTCCTAACAGCCAACCTACCTGAATGATTTTCCAACAAAAACAAACCCCAGCGACAGTGGTTTATAGTACACTAAAAAATAGGACCACGCTTTATTTACCGAATACCAAACACACAGCAGTGGCAAGTAATGGTAAAGACTCGTCTTATACTGTTTACCTAGGATGAACCCCCAAAAAGGGTCAACCTTCTCTTAACACTAGCAATTAATCAATATAATCCACAGCACCGCTCCATCTGATGGGAATTACTGTCCATCAAGCCACTGGAGGTGTCAACTCGTGTGTCTCCATGACCTTACTGCGATGCAAATGTGAGTGCACCCTAACCACGACTTCGGGGTACTGACTCAGGCTTCCAGAAGATGAGCAGCGAGCACCAGCCCTGAAAACCTGGACCCTCAAAACCTCAACCTGGCTGACTGCGGGGGGGGGGGGCCAAACGAGGGGGGCCGCCCGGGAGTCCGGCCCTCCCCGCCCCCCGGGCTGAGGCAGGCGCGGCGCCGGGGGTGGACGAGGAAGAGGCCGGTTTGTTTACTTGCAGCGGGCCGCGCCGGCGGCGGCGACAGCATCCCCGCTCCGCCGAGCCCGGCATCTTCCGCACATTTTCTATTCTTAGCACACAACTCCCCGGCGGCTCGCAGCCCCGCTACTATTAAAAACACAGACGGGCACGTTCCCCGTCCGCGCGCACACGCGCGCGCCCAGCCCCACCCGGCCGCGCCGTCTCCCCCGAGCGCGGCGCCGGGGGTGGACGAGGAAGAGGCCGGTTTGTTTACTGCGGGCGGGCCGCGCCGGCGGCGGCGACCGCGATGATGGAGCTCCAGATGGACGAGGGCGGCGGCGTGGTGGTGTACCAGGACGACTACTGCTCGGGCTCCGTGATGTCGGAGCGCGTGTCGGGCCTGGCGGGCTCCATCTACCGCGAGTTCGAGCGCCTCATCCACTGCTACGACGAGGAGGTGGTCAAGGAGCTGATGCCGCTGGTGGTCAACGTGCTGGAGAACCTGGACTCGGTGCTCAGCGAGAACCAGGAGCACGAGGTGGAGCTGGAGCTGCTGCGCGAGGACAACGAGCAGCTGCTCACCCAGTACGAGCGCGAGAAGGCGCTGCGCAAGCAGGCGGAGGAGGTGCGTGGGCCGCGGGCCGCCGGGGCCCCCGCCC